TCGCTAACTTGTTAATATCTCCCGATCTAAACCGGCAAGACAACGAGCCCGTGGTTCAATGGTTAGAGCGTTAGACATCTGATCAAACGCCTCAGTCTAGAGTCCTCGCAGGTCTCCCTCTTCTTTGTCGGTTCCACTCCACCATTAAAGTGTATTTCTGTTTATGTCATTTCTACGGACTCCTGACTGCTTGGTGCATTTTTGGCAGATTTTCCACTGTATTCCTTAAGAGTGTCAACTGTTCCCTGGCCAGTCATACACCAGTTATTTTTGCAGGAAGTGGGGAGAGCTCTTGACGACCACGGCAGCGGTGCGTCTGAAATTAACAGGAATTTTTTATGTTTCACTTTATCTGCCCCCCCCCCTAGTTGAAAAGCTGAAAGCGGAACAGTTGCTGGAACAGGTGAGGGTTGCCCTGAACCAACTGGATGCCTACAATCGCCTGTTGGATGAGGAAATGGGTCAGAGGACCAATCTGGGACTGAGCCTGCCCGCCTATCGTTCCTTTCTACAGGAGGAAATCCGACAAACGCGTGCCCTTATTGAGGTATGTCCTGGTGGCTTTTTTTTCTTGGCAAAACAGTATCAGATTATTGAGGGAAAGGTAGGCGAACGCCTTCAAATTCCCTATTGGTAACAAGATGATAATAAATATATGGATACAAGGAAATATTTAAAGAGTATGTCAATTGCATGTTGCAGGGGAAGACGCGGCAGTTGTCGAATAGTCAAAATTGTAATAAAGCATGACTACTCGCTTGTTACGAATAGTATAATGTAATGCCGTGTCTTTTGGCTCCCTGGGGGTGTGGAATGATGTACTTGATGCATGTCCAGTCTGCTCTTAAATGAATTAACACATGTAGAGAGGACAACCTCTTCGGGAGGGGCGTTCCACGCTGCAGCTACTCCGTTGCTGAAGAATTTTCGTCCATAGGTCCCTGCTTTGCCAACGCCTAGTCTAAGGGGATGACCGCGCGAAGTTGGCGTATTAGCCTGGGTAAAGAAACTTCGGGGACAAAGCAAATATCCATTCTCCCGCCCAACTCTCTTACGGAATTGGTAGTTAAACATTTACTTCTTGGTTAACGAGCGTAAATGCCTATTTGATTGTGTCGAAAGTCATCAACGAAATATTAAATTAAAGCCACTTATAGTTGTTGTAATAAGCTAAATAAAATTAACTCCATCAACATAAACTCCTGTTGATCAGGCAACTGATGCCTATTGATGGAAATTTGACCTTATATTGGCGGAATTTAACGAAAAAGGGGGAAGTCGGTCTACTGAAAATGTAAAAGTAGATTATTATCATTATAAGTCAAAGGCAAATAGGACCTCTAAAGGCAGTCCTACCTTTTTCTTGAATTCAAAGTTTTACCTCAGCGTGCAGTGTATACGTGTGTTTATATGCCTTTGGAACGTCGAGATATGAAGCCCACGATTTACCTGATCGCTTTTCCTCCTAATACCTGTCCAGTAGATTTCCTATCTCATGAAATGTCAACCGAAATTCCGAAATGTCTTTTGTAATACTGTGGTAATCTTACAGGCTAATTCCAAGATTTTTCAGTCACGTCAAGATGCCAGTTTTTGAATGAGTTTCGTTCTGCCCGCCTGCAAAAAGTATATTTTTTTAATGGCTACTTAAGTAGCATGCATTTTTTTCAGTGATTTTCATTGCCTTTATATATACTTATATATTCAAATATATTTTACAGAAAGCACGTACGAAAAAAATAGTTTTGCTACTCATTTGGTAGCAAAGTATGTCTTCTTCAAAGGGTTTATGTTTGAAAAACAGGTATCTTTCGGCTTAAAAACCCTTGCAATTAACAGATAATTTTAAACACTGTCGGCCGTTACTGTTGAATTCAAGATTTCCAAACTGCGCGCTGTATACATCGTGTCTAAGAAAGAGTACATATTTTGCTACGGTGTGGATGTGGACCATGTGGTATAATTTATAGGCAACATTAATCAAATTGATGAATATGATGTGTTATGAATGAAAATTACACAGCCATAAAAATTGCATAATCAAAAACCTTTTTAAACCCGACAGATACCCTTTCTTCACGTATAAAATTTTAAGAATGCGCCACTTGCTACCAAATGAAACCAAGACAGAATACTTGTTTGTGCAAGTTTTCTATAAAATATGTATTTTAATTTGTAATGGCGGAAAAGGCATTCTACTTAATTAGTAATTTTTTGCAGAGTTTACTTTTTGCAGGCGGCCAGATGGAAGCTCGTTCAAGAGCCGACATCTTGGTGTGATTGAGATATCTTTAAATTAAGCTGTATTGTTCGAATTTAAAACACGTTTTTGGACTTCGATTGACCTTTTAGTGAGATAGGAAACCTACCATACATTTGTCATAGAAAGAACGTCCAACGACCGGATTCCTGGATCTGCTCTCACCGTGGTATCATTTGGCTCCGTGTAAAACCTTCACATAAAATTATAATAGCGATAGGGGAAGACTGAAATGGTCATTTCTGGCATGCTAGCCGTTATCAACTAGCCATGGCCAATCCGCGGGTTTGCAACTTCAGTTAAAGATGCAGTGAGCTGTACATTTTTTTATTCCCTGACAATGAGCTCGCGTGAGGGTTCTAAACGTCGTACAAATAGACCACTGGTCCCAGAGAACGTTTTACCGTCTTCTATTCAGTTACCCGGAGCTCACATCTTCTTGACCATTCTAACTATCTCTGGGTGTGTATCTGACTTATGTTTAAACCCGAGTTCCGCCCTGCGCACATTGTTAACCGGTTTTCTTGCCCTGGGTGTTTTCTAGGAAGTCAAACTGAAAACCCGTCACACTGAAACCCTGAAAAATAGTCTTGAGCTGCATATTCGGAGTCTGCCGGACATTTGCCTTCGTCCAGATCAGACGTCACGGCTTGACCCCCTGCCCTCAGTCGGAGATCTCTTTCGATAGGTCTTTTCAGAACCTAACTCAAGTCCCAAATTTCCCTCCCTGGCCCCTCATCCTGCTCTTATTTTGCGTTTATTTAAAACAACATTTTGCACTTTTATTGAATTATATACCTGTACATACCTATTATTAAATTATGGGGGTTAGAATCCCATCAGCCTGCTTGAACAAAATACCGCCCTTATTTTTCATTGGCGAAAGGAATTTTCGATGATTACTGTTGGTCTTGTAAAGCTGCATCTGAAGTTTCTGTCTGCGCCAATAATGTGAGCAAAATCGATCGGTGGTCGGACACCGTAGCACCGGTCTCTGATTAGTTAGTTTCTCTACTGGAACAGCCACGGAGTCGACTCTTATGGTACTATCAACGGCAAACGGCTAAGTATGTTAGGGTGCCGTGTCTTGTTTTGTTTTTTACGATACCTTCAGTTTTATCGTCGTGTTTGGTTACCCATCATACGGGTATGCACTGGCGTTTCTCGCCAAACCTGTCGATGGATGCGTGTACGTGGTAGCCCTTGTTGGATCAAGAGTCCCCGCCGGAGTCCAAACTGATTGTAGTTGGAAGACGGAGAAAAGCCGCGATCTCGACCGACCTGAGCCAAAGGTCCACGGGTGTGAGTTGGGTGCTTGGTCGGGAACTGCAAGCGAAAAAAGGCCGACAGTCAGGCGGGTGTGGACGGGTCGAGCCGGTTTTGGTACTGACGGAGGAGCCTTGAGTAGCCACTGCGTAGTTGAACCTAGGTATAGCAAGTGACCCTCGGGAGTTGTTGTTCCGAGGCCGCAATTGGAGGTGAATAGCC